CAAAGAAGAATGCTTATTCATTTTCAACTTAGTAAAATTTTATAGTTAGGATTCAATATATTTTAAAAACACCATAATTTAGATCTAATTAATATTAATAGAAATCAATTTAAAACAGACTTATAATGATTCTCATATAAATCAAGATATTGTAAACTATGAATGCTCATTCATATTGGAATGATTTTTATTTTTCTTGTTCTAAAAATTCAATATTAAGCAGATGATTAACATAATATCAATATTATAAAAGTTAAGATTCTATAAGGGTTTCAACATACTAGGGATTGTTATAGACTTTTGTAATAATTTTTAGATATCTAATAAAATTGAACATTATTGAAATAGTGTCTTATTTTCGATTAATTCTCTTATTTTAAAATATATTAGAAAAATATTTTATAATAAGACTATTCACTTTTACTCTTCTATTCTGTATTTTGTGACTAAAATGATTATGAGAATGATATTAGTTAATAAAAAAAATAGAATTATCAGTATAAACAAGTTGAGAAAAGGCTCAATTTGAGATTAAAATAATCATATGAAATCTATAGGTTTTTGATTGAGCAATTCACTTTATGAATTTGAAAAAAAATATAATCCCTTAAATCAAGATTTAATTAGTATTAGTCGCTTTATTAAATTTGAAATAATGACATTTTAAATCAAAATTTAATAGGTAATATCAATAAAATATGATTTTTGGCAGTTCTCCCTTATAGAAGAATACTTTTGCTCATAGAGGAAATGAATGGAAAAAATAAGAATGTTGTTTGTGTTCAAAATAAATGTTATTAAAAATAACATAGAAATATCTGTAATTCTAACAGAGATTTGAGAAGAAAATTTACATTATTTATTCAATAAATATTCACTAACAAATGTGTACCTTAATGCCATGTGAAGATTAACATTTTTTTATAATTTAAAAAGGCTCTTTGAAGAAATTTTATTCTCGAGTGCAGATTCTCAATAATAGTGTTTATTTTGAAATAATAAATATTATAACTGATACTAAACTTAAAACTGGTAAGGATTGTGTTACCTACTAGGATGAAAGTGTAATAAGAAGAAAGGATGTATTGCAAAAAGAGCAAGTTGTACAAATTATAGTGGAATTGCTACAAGTTTTATAGGATATTTTTACAGATGTATATGTGCTTGAGATGTTACAAGTAATAAATGCAGAGCTAGATTTGTAGTTTAAAATCAGCAACAACTGATGAAAAATGTATTAGATGAAAAACTGGATGTAAACTCCGAAATCATTAATATCATAAACATAATGAGAATAATACAAAGGTTTATGTATAAAATGGAACAGGATAGGTATCATCACATTTTGTAAGATACTGTGAAATAAGCTATTTTTGATGGAACAGATATTTGTGGATGTCTCCAATACTAGTTGTGGATCATTATTGTAGTCTAAATTAAAGTGTTAAAATAAATGATATATCATGTAAATCGGAATCAAGTTCATGCTAAAACCCAAATGCAATGATTTTATATCAAATGACTACAAACAATTTTCATTCTGCATTTTACTTGCTTTTTCATCTCTTACAAATTAGATATTTCGTAACTATCCAAATGATACACATTATTACAATTTTAAATTAAAAATTTAAGAATAATAAAGTACAACTATTTTGAAAAATATTAAAATAGGCATAATCTTAGCATTTTAAACAGATACTCTTGATTCTTATTTGACAATATTCTAATTACTCTAAAAAATATAGAGGATAGTCTATATTCTAACTTAATAGGATGAATTCATAAACATATTTATAAATTTACATTCATATCTAACCCTAAATTGATAACCATATATATATGGCTTCGTCCTCCTCATTTTCAAAAAAATCATTTGATAAAATAGAAGCAAAAGAACAATAATCTTAAGTAAATTGATATCAATAATTTTTTAAATACAATAACTTCTTTGTTGCTTATAATATAAATTGAGCTATATTTGAAATTAAAAAAGCTGAAAATGTCAAGAAAATATCTTTGGAATAACATATATTAGATCTTATTAAATGATATGTATAATATGATAATGCCTCATAACTTTGATAGTTATTTCTAAATGTAATTCTTATCATTAGATCCTTTTTCCAAAGCAGACAAATATAATTGTTTAGCTTCTGATTTCTTCCCTAATTCAAATAATGAGTCAGCTAAATATAAATATTAGTTTTAAGTACCTTTTCGTTATAATCTTAGAGGATTAATATTGATAGAAAGAGCTTGATCGTAACATGAGATTGCATCATTATATTTCTATAGTTAATGTAAGACATAACCTGAAATATAATATAATTTACCCTTGTTATACCACGCTTTATCATACTTTGGATTAATGGAAATTGCTTTGTCGTAGCATTCAATGGCTTCTTAACATTTATTCAACTTTCTTAATGCAAATCCTATAAAAGAATGTTAAACAAATTATTACCCTTGTTATTCCACGCAGCATCATACTTTGGATTAATGGAAATTGCTTTGTCGTAGCATTC